GCTTCCTCTCGTGACGGGCAACACGCTCGTTTTTTCCGCGAAGCTCTAGCTCGATCAGGGGCCAAACGCGAGGGGGGGTTCGTTCCAACCCCCCCCCCCCCTTGTGCCGTCGACGAACGACGCAAAATGGCCTGTGCCGGCGAGGGTTAAATTTTCAACCTTGCGCGACAAAGATAAAACTTATTGAAGATGACACTCAATGAAAGCATCTTTTTATTGATTTATGATCAACGGGGGTCGGTGGCCCGAACCTCCCGGTTAGGACGCCAGAAGTTGCGTAGCATCTCAGCTCATAATCTTGCAAGAAAGCTTCAAATTATCTATCCAGTCTTAATTTGCATGCTTTAAACTTTATGTTACAGATGGTCTAACATCATAAAACGAGCCTGGTTCAAAGTTATCACGAATTTTCTGTATGTACAATATTTTACTCGAAGAAGGCAAAAACGCATTATCACCGCTCATTGCCAAAGAAGACTGAGGAAGATTTTGAAAATCGCGTGGGTTCTATAACGGAATAACTGCTACCAGTTTACGCGGTCAAATGTGTAAAAATACGCAACACTTCTTCAAAACTGCGATGGCCCATACCTCCAGGGGGCCCATATCCTCCCGGGTCTCCCCTAACCGTCACGCCCCTACTGGTTTTGAACTGACCTGACCTGACCCGACCTGGTTTAAATGATTAAGGACATCATCTGTGATCAAAACTAACACGATATTCGTGATCAGCACCCCGAAAAACCCCTTAGCAGTCACACGTGACGACTTTCTAACAGGTACCGATTTTCCCGACTTTGGGTCATTGACCTGACCTGGAAGGTCAACCAATGACCTAGGACCTTAAAATTGGGTATCATCGGCTTTCTCTCGTCACGGGCAACACGCTCGTTTTTTTCCGCGAAGCTCTAGCTCAATCAGGGGCCAAACGGCAATGGGGGGGGGGGTCCAACCGACCCCCCCCCCCTACACATTAGAAGCTGGCAAACGCCGCACACATGCGAGGGTTAAATGTTATTATGCTTTCGCGTAACTAAACATTTATTATTCGTATTCGTATACCCATCCACTGCTGAAGGCATTCTATCGCCAAAACGTTTAACTCTGGCTTTAGAGTATTGTCGTCATCTTGGGTCGAATATATCAAGTTGGCATCTCTCTCAATTGTCCGACTTTGTTCAGTTTTGGGGTCTAAAAATGGTCTTGGTTGGCAGTTGGTTTCGTTTCGGTTTCCTAATTACCAGTGATTGACATCACTAGTTGGTTGACATGCAAGTGCCCTGAAATATAATTGCTTTCAGGGCATTCCCGAAACATGCCACATGTATCGATATGCGGAAGTGCTCTCTTCCGCACTAGCCCTTTTTTGGTGCCCTAGACGGCGACTGCCATTTTTCAGCCCAGCTCAAATTTCCTAGCATGTCGAAGGCAGTCTCGTCTAGCGTCGTTGACACCACCACGATGAGCATGACGGAGTTGGCAGCCTCTGTTAATTAAGAAAACTGTTTGGTCAGAGGGTCCATTTATAATCATTATCAAAACGCGACATTGCTTCGTAATGTTTGACGCAATTTTTCTTATCAGCAAGTCCATTTTCAGCGGCGTATTCACAGCGATATTCACAGCATTGATGTAAGTAGGTGAGAAGCCAATATGTAATGTGGACCCGTTGAAATAAAGCTGAATCTGAATCTAAACCCAACGACCAGTGCAGTCACATCCCCCCAACGGCGTCTTTACGGCGGCTAGCCTTCAGCACACGGAATCGGCAGCGGGCAGAGGATCATGGGCATGATCACCTCTCCCGCATGAGGGTCAGAGTAAGGAGCCATCAGTGGGCCGTGCGGGCTCCGGCTGAATGCCCATCGCCTCCGCACCGACACTCGAGCCAGCGGGGATCACCCACGCGCCACCAAGACTAATCCAGCTATCGCCAGCCGTGTCGGACAATCTGACTCACGTGAGAAGTCAGCAGGAGCACGAGTTCAGACCAGATGGGGATCCCTGGGCTCGGCCGATCGCAAACAAGCAAACAAGCAAAAGTTAAATGCGTTTCGCTGCGACGGGAGCTCCAGTTCGCAGTCAACAACTATTTGTTTGACGGTGCTTCTGCAAAAGAAACATATCTGAGCTTTTTGTGGATTATTTGGTGGATACCTATAGCTGTTTCTGGCGCGAACATGATCAGCTGTGCATAAACTTGGAGATCTTTACGTATTGGACAAAACAGCTGAATTATCAATCGGCATCGGCAACGCCTCGAATCCATCGAGAGCGCTGTAAATCTCTTTGTAGGATAGTCGCATGGTTTTCCTTTCACCACAGAGCGTGTTTCGCGGCTGTTCAACCTAGTCTGACGCCGGGAACAATTTGTGTCCCCCGCCGTAGATTATGTCTGGCGAGCTCATTGTTCCGCCCCGCCCAATCCTTTTCAGTGGCGACAGTTCAAAGCCGACAAGTGCCACACCAATGTTTTCCATGTTTTCAAGAACGCGGGCTCACACTGTAGCTCCTCTAGAAGGCGTGTCTTTGATTGAAGTCCATGATTGCTGGCGCTGGATGAAGGTACCGTTCGAAAATGCATATCAATGGCAATCGTGTTTAATTGGTCCAATGTTAAATTTTCTCATTCATGCCGATCCCTATAATTAGTTGAAAACATTTACCAGAACACGAAATATTCAGCCTGTGGTATTTGCATCAGTGCCACAAAATACAAATGACGAAACAATGCAGAACTGCAATTTGCAAACCTATTGATGGCTGTCAGCAACACCTCAAGGCAATCGACCGAAAAGCTGCCAAGGAAGAATTATGTCTTATTGAGTGTCATAAAGAAAACCAAAGGCAATTATGCCATAATGTTCCTCATGATTTCTGCTTCACCGCAGCCAATATGCTATAGGTCATCTATTTCATCGCTCCGTTTGGCGGGGTTTGGCGGGTGGTTCCAGGAGCAGGAACTGCCACCAGTGGGCGATCGGCCTTTACTCAGCCAACAGAGTGTCTAGATCACGGAGGCGTCAGGCATGAGCCCAATGGCAACTTAGCGGCCCCCGGCTAAGAGGCGTTGGGCGAGGGCAGACAGATGCCGGAGAGAGCGAGGGAGAGGGAGGGAGGGTGGGAGGGAGAGAGATAAGCGGAGCGGGCGGGCTGGGGCGGGAGGCACGAGGGGAGCGCGGGATATAGGACAGTCAAAGACGAGCCAGCGAAGGGGACGGACCATCGGTCATGGTCTCAACAATTTTTTTTTGTTCTTCTTTGTTTTTTTCCTGTCGTGACCCCACTGTGGCGGGTGGTTCCAGGAGCAGGAACTGCCACCAGTGGGCGATCGGCCTTTACTCAGCCAACAGAGTGTCTAGATCACGGAGGCGTCAGGCATGAGCCCAACGAAGGAGGATATTTTGGGCAGATTGCTATGGCTGCTTGATGCGTATTGCGTATTCACTAGCTTGTGGGCCGTTTTGTTTGAAAGCTGCTCGTTCACTAATTATTTCCTCTCCATTTCCTTGCGGTAGTTACGTTTGCAGCCTAATCCTTCTTTCATAATAATAACGATATACTAGCATAACAGTCAATCGACTTTGCGTTTTGTCAGGAAAATAATCACTCACAGTTAAATCAAACCAAAGTATTTGTCTCAATTGGCACAGATGTTAAGTCCACAGACTTACTTCACATGCGTCATGCAAGGATGCATGTCTATTGTGTAAGACACAGTTACCGCCGCTGTCGTAATATTACGAGTTGGGGAGTGTGTCTGCGCCCTCCATCAGAGGCTGGTGACCATACGGCCGCGGCCCGAACCCGGCGCCGGTCCCGTGGCGCCGCCTCAATTATACGGCCCCATCCGTTTGTCGCCGGGGCCGGCCGTCCGTCAGCGGCCGCAGACATGGCTGAACAGGCCGCCCGGCCAAAGACAGATGTGCCCGGATTTGGGAGGATTTGTCGCCGTCGTCGCGACGAAACCTGCGCAAACTCGCTCATTTGTGGCGCGACGGGTGGCCAAGAGTGGGCAGGGTGCTCCGGGAATATGAGTTGAGCTGCGTAGAAGTTCCGGCGGTGTTCTGTAGTGCTTTTGGGGGAGATGTGGTGAACAGCTCGCATAAGCTGCTGCCTTATCAACTGAAATAGCATTAAAATGCGTGTTGCATATGTGTGTGCATTTTCCACACTGCTGTACGCCTCTTTCGTTGCGATGCGGTTGTGTCGTCCTGATTCGAAACTTCTTTCGTCAATTGTGCTCTCATTCCTCCAAACTTCATTGTTTACTGCACACAACGATAGCGGTTACGGCCCTTCGACCGAATAAAGAAGTTCCACCCTCCATTCGAAAGAGACATTTCGCGTTCGGAGGCGAACGACCCGATCATGGTGTAAATCACGGCGTCTTCAAATCAAAGCTCTCCACTTTCGACGCCAATAAAACTCCCGCTGGTCGGTCTTACGCCATTGTCCCACGTGCACCCACATCTGGGCGAATCTCTGCGTCGGTTGTGTGCATTGCAATCGATGTCGGCGAGGGTAGTTTGTCACAGTTTATCTGAGCGCTGGACGGGCCGCAGCGCCGCCGGCGCGCCGTCGAATGGCCGCCGGTAGCCGGCACAATCAGCAGAGTGGCGGCGCCGTCTGCGAGCTACCGCACGGGCACATCAGAGAGCGACCCAGTCAGTGCGCTGGCCAACTGACCTACCGACCGACCGATAGACCGACAGACCAACCGACCGTTACCGCGGACACATCAGACACGCGGACAGCGCGTCGACCAACAGACGACCGACTGACCGACCGACTGACCGACCGACCGACCGACCGGTCGAATGACCAGCCACAATTTACACCACTGTTTTATGTCCTGCACAGTACACACTATTAATTTGTACAATTACTGCGCCCCCTCCCCATGTACCCCGTGTTTTCTGGGGCGGTGACTTAGCACGTTGCCCCCTTCCCACCCGTGAAGCATCCCCCACGACTGACCTGTTTCCTCACCTCCTCAGCCGCGCCTGCTACAACGCCTGGAACCAGCTGCGTCTGAGCCCGGTGTTCGGCTGCATCTGCCCAGACAGCACAGCAGCGTGCCAGCAGATATTTGACCTGGTCCACCGGAACCCCTGTGTCGGTAGGTGGCCTCGGCCGCACCGCCCCGCTTTGACCATGGCTGCGGAATGGAGCCCAGCTGAGTGCTAGGTTAACGATTCATGCCATTATTAGGACGTGTTGCTAGCTGTCGTGGACTTAAATTTCGTTTTGAGAAATTAAAATTGGCTCGGTACAAGAGAAACACTCATTTTTATACTGCTCTAGTAACCCAGAGGCATCGTGAGAATTCAATTGCATTGCCCAATTACATTCTCCTTTATAATTGGTAATTTCCGGTGTATAAACCTGAACTATAAAATGTAATTACCTACTACTTTATTTTTGGTTCAGCCAGGTTCTCAGATTTCATAAATGGGCTTTGGGTAGCTCCAATCGCACAATAACGGACAACCCAGTTCCTTTTTCCAAAGCATACTGTACGGTCAGCGAGTTTTATCCTCGTCAAGCAAAACCCTTATCAGGTCCAGGTCGATCGTAACAATTGGCAAATGTTGAGCAATAACAGTTAGTGAGCGCAGTTAGCGATCACCGGCCAGACCTGACCACCAATTGGATACATTTCACGCATATGTATTTGCCGACACTGGCAACGCTATGCAATATACAATATGCATGACAGGTGATGCCAAATTTCATAAACAGGAAAGTGTGACAATTCTATGAGACGGGCCCTGGTACGAAAGGGTGCCTGTACCCACCAATCAAGGCCAATTTATCATTCGTCTCACTGAATTTGCCTGCCAACCACTTGCCTTCATACCCCACCTTCGTTTCTGCGCTGTTTATTTGAGCTTATTTCTGCATTATTGTTGTTTATTTGGTATGAGTATGTGTTTCCTTAAATGGGTATTATTGTCGTCGAGCATAATTTGATTTTCCATGCATTTGGGTTATGTGAGCTAAACAATGAATGATTATGCAATATTTTTGCAAGCTTTTTGTATCTGCCTCTTAGAAAAGAGAAGACCATCGACTTCAGTTTACCTTTTCAGTCTTTAATTGCTCTCCGCTTCTATGCAAGGGACCCATTTTCATCCAGCGTATCATTACTGACACGCTCGGCTCAAAAGCACACGGAAGCACCGTGTGCCTGGTCAGGGCCATCAGTGCGCGGCAGCTTCCTTCCGGATAGCGTGGGCCGCCCTGTCGATGGACCGGTCAATACAGGTCAATTAAGAGCGGTCAATAATGACCCGGGTCACAAACAGCCGAGCCTAGCTCAGCCTTGATAGCCTGGGTGCGTTTTAAAATCATTGAATCGGCACAATGTCCACTAGGCACATAAACAATTTAAGCAGACCGGTGTCCACCGCAAACAGCAGATTGTTGGCTCATTCCGGTTACTGTGTGTACTGTGAACAGCGGTACGGAAAGTCCAATTTATTCCCCACAAAGGCAATGACACCTTTAGAAAGCAATATGGCCACTGGGTACTGGAACGCCAGCGATCTGTGTGCATGTGAATAAACTTCAAATCTTTCAGCTGTTAAGTGAATAAATGCTTCAACTCTTTCATATTTGACTGCCTCAACTATTTACACTGATGTAAATAGTTTAATCTTCATATTATTTACACTAATGTGGCTCAGAGAGAATACATGCATGCAATTGAAGTCTTGAGGAAACATTCTTTGGTCTCAGGATTGATTGTTGTTGTGGTTGTTGTATCCCCAGTCTGGAAACTTGTCGCAACCACCGTAAAAGAAACAAAAATGCCTCAAGCACTATCAACAAAGCTTTCAACTTTCGTGAATGCAACTTTTCAAGCATTTTGTAACATGTTGAAAAGCTATTTTAAACGAATGATTGATGAAACGAGACTATCTTATCGCAGTGATGTTTATCTAAACGTCAATTTTCGGTTTTATATTTTGACAACTATACCGCTTAAAGGGACCCTCCCACCTTAACATTAGTTTTGAGTTGAGATAGCCAAGTTTGCGGCCAGGCTCAGAAACCACCATTTATCCTGGTCGCAACCCCCGCAGCTTTATGGTGTTCAAGAAATTTCTTCCCTTTACTTGCAGGGTGGGACCAGCGTGGTCCCTATCTCTTAACCATTACGGGAATCTGATGACGTCATCAGGATTTCGAACGTCCGTTAAATGTTTGACTAAAACGTTTTGTAGCACGCGGTGGTATATGCTGCGTTGCGCGCAACAAATGCCGCACTTTTAAATAAAGTCGCTAGGAACAGCGGAGATCCCAAAAAGTAAACAAAAGTAAAAGTCTAATATCTTGAAAACCGGTGAATATTTTTCGGTGAAATTTGGTAGATATTCGTTTTCGCTCTTTCTGAACCGAGCGACATCACTTTCATGCCAATTCATAAACTTTTTTGAAGGTGGGAGGGTCCCTTTAAATCACATTTGAAATACAAATCATGCATAGGAAAGTCGATTTCATCTAGTTTTAGTGTAGTTTATTACGTAGAGTAACTTGCACTGAACCTTGCCCGACCATCACTTATTCCCCGCTTTGTTGCTTATTCTGTTTCACTGTATGTCCAGTGTCCACTGTACCAGCTTCCCTACCTCCCACTTGACCGATCCTCCAGACTGACCACTGCAACTGGTGTTCAGTACCCCGTCCCTTTCATGATCTACCTATTCATAAAGCCTTCCACTGGGTCACTACAGTCACCAGTGTAACTCATCAAATGTCCATTTCTGACCTGAAACCGGGCCATTCCTTTCTCTCTCCCCATTCACCTATGTGATCCTCCCAGCCCTGACCTGACACCGGGTCACCCTCCAATGACCCCTGTGCCCCGCCCGTGTCCGAGCCGCCCATCAGCTGCCGTGTCTGTTGCAGATGATCTGCCCGAGCACGGCCGAGACGTGACCTGGCACAGTTCGCACTACCAATTGCACCGCCTGCTGTTCCCGCCGCCGGGCGACACCTCTGCACCAGCACCTCGGCCCGCACCCCGCACGCCTGCACGCCCCCTGCACCGGCCCACCCCGGGCGGCCCGTGGGCAGCGCCCGCACCGTCACCGGGACGTGTTTCAGTGGACGTGCTGGCCGGAGGAGACTGGGACGCCAGCAGGAGACCGGTCGACCCGCTGCTGGTGACGCCGCTGGTTGACCTGACCTCGGAGCCCACCTACAACTCGAGTCTGACCGAGACACTGTACGGCTCGACGGACCCGTTCGGCGCCAGAGGTCACGGCGGCGGCCGCTCCCACCAGCCAACACGTACGTACCGCGAATCTGGAGGAAAGGGGGCTGGACACGAAATTTGGGAAAATACCAAACGTTTTTTCACATAAATTCTGGTGATGGTTCTGAGCAACAGAAACGTTGGATGTTAGACACTGAAAAGTCGTTTAGCTATATTTTGATGTGCTGTGTAGTTCGATGTGTTGGAACCAGTAGTTTTAGCTGGTGTTGTATGTATTTGTCTTAGAATTCACGAGCTTCCGGAGTTAAAAATCCTTTTGAGGAATGCGTTATGAAAAAACTTTGTCAATTCTGCGATATTCTAGAACCACTCTATCGATTTCGCGTCGTGTTCTTAAATAGCTACCTAGACTTTATGAGTAAGCAGAATCTCGCAACCATTAAGACTTAGGTAAGGGAAAATCTTGCACTGCTTGACAGCTCTAAGCAAATTTTCTCCACGAATCTCTACAACTCACAGCTGTATAACAACACTAAACATATGCTCCAGCTTCCATCATCTTGATCAAAGCTACATTTCACTGAAACTCCATCTCTTATGAATTTTGCATAGGCAATCCTGAGTGTATCGAACAGGTCTTATTCCATCGGAAAGAAAACAAAACGATAAATCACATTATATTGCCATAAGACGCATTGAAAAAATGCAACTGTCAGTGGGAGGCAAGGTCACAAAACGTTACCATTTTTACTGATTTAATGAAATATGTAAGCATAAATGAAATGCTAAAAGGCTTACATCACCAACTGGACTATAACTATGGCGGTCTTTCTCCTAGCTCGACTGGAGCACGCCGTCAGACGTGAGCCGTTGGTGGGAGGGACAGAGCACCGCAGCGTCAAACAATAGCCCAACTATCGGAAACCGGAAACGGGACAGAACGCCTTGCATAAGTGGACAGCTGCACGGTCGGATCCGATGATAAGTTAAAACATTCATTATTCAAAAATGGCATTGAACTTGGAAGTCATCCGTGCGAACCTAAAAGGGAACATGCATTTGTGACATCGTTTTTTTCTCTCTCTCTCTCTTCTGCATTACAAATACTAGGGCTATTTATAAGGCCTTTAAGAGCTAAAAATAAACTTTAAAGTGATTTTATCCCTCTTAGGAGTATTTATTCACTAATCCGGCTCCGATTCGAGTTATTCAGAAGGGTGTGCAATTAGTAAAAGCTATTCTCTTCTCATGCGCACCTATTTGATATGCATTTGCTGATGCATTCACAAAACGGTGCGGCATGTTACCAGTGTCGGCGAATAGTGAACATGCCTAAAAAACAACACCTAAGAATGCCTATATAAAGTATTTAACGCATACTGTCAGTGTAATCCATGATGAAAATACTGCTGAATATTCTTCAAATTCACATACAAGCCTGCATGGTTTCACGTTTTGAAAAGCATGCAAGGTCTGTGCTTGTGCATTATTTGAATTCCAGCTTATACCTATGGACATATTTCAATTATTGTCCGGCACGTTTCCTGAGTTTATTTTGAGCAATAAGTACTTTTGAAAGTGAGGCCGAATTTCAGCTCAATTGCTTCCCTTATCTGCCCGCACAATTTGAACCACCGATCTTGCAAGAAATGAGTTGTGTGGTGCTCTTTTTTTTTGTTTCGACACGGCTGCTGGTATACGAAGGAACGTCAAAGCTCATCGTATAATTAGGAAGTCCCTTCCTCTCTCATCTTAGCATTTTCGATCCAATCCATCAAGCTCATTAGTGGTAGAAGTGGTTGTCGAACGGGACTTGGCAAACGTTGTAGGCCTTATCAATGGTCATACATCAAAAGCGAAGGGGACAAAGACACCAAGGGTCATACCTTTAAAGGATTATCAGCCTCCTTTACTCCTGTGGCCGTGCCAGTGTGCCAACGACAGTTATAGAGTTGGAAAACGGATGCTGAAAACTTCATCCTGTCTGGAAGTTAGCATTCAAAGCAATATTCCGGGCTAAATAGCATTCAATTATACTTACAATATATATATATATATATATATATATATATATATATTCATTGAGACAAGTTTCATTAAACAGTACTGCACTTTTTGCTTTGCTAAGTTTCTTGTTGAGTTTTTGGATCTTGGTAAAGTTATGTTTGATCACAGTTGGTAAGGTGCTCAAAATATCAGTGACACTCATATAATCATATTTTATCTTTCGACGCGTTTCGATTGTATTTTCACAATCATTTTCAAGATCTACATTATATGTTGATATAACACTGCCTATAGCTATTTCAAGTTACAGAGTCGCTTGAGATATAGCACTATTTAAATTATCATAAAACATGTGACTGACAGTATTCGAAACCTTCGTTTTTGCTAAATGTCTCTCGCATAATAGTTACGCTAGGGATACAGTTCACGATACTTTGCACACAAATACTACTTCTTCACATTTGTATCACCACATGCAGTAAAGAAACGCCGCAAAGAGTTGATGTTTGGTTTGAGGCATCTTCAGTTGGCATTGCAAGTTGCAAGCTTTCAACATCAGACACCCCATAGGGCCAGTGATACGTGCGTTTGCCTTTGTACGTTGAGTGTGGGCTTCAGCCTGTTGATATGCAGTGCTTCGTGAATGAACAGGCGATAGTGATCGTTTGCACTGTCTAGTATGTCTGTGTTGAGTTTGAGAAGTTTGTGTGTTGGCTTTTGTTCGTGTTTTTGTAACCAGTGCTCGACTGGGCCTGTCCCTTCCTGTAAGTGCATGGTGAGGCGACGAGATAGTGTCGTCGTGGTGGCACCAATGTAGCATGTGTCTCGAGGCCTACAATCCTCGTGAGGGCAAGAAAATTTGTACACTACATTGGTGCGATTGGATGGCTGGACTACGGAAGGGCTGTTCTTCATGACGAGCTGACGTGTTTTTCTATTCTGATAGTATATGTTGACTTGAACACGTTATATATATATAACGTGTTCTATATATATATATATATATATATATATATATATATATATATATATATATATATATATATATATATATATTTAGTGTAAAGCTCTAGCTCAGATAACCGTAACATGAAAAGAAATTGGTGTCTTTGTAGTCTCGCGTAATTCAACTGAACTAAAACGCAATTTAAAGCTGGTTTGTTCTCATATTTTTGTCCTTTTTGGGGGGAATGGATAGATATCCTCCCACCACAAGACGGCAACACTGCTATAGGAAATAACGGAAATCAGTACCTGCTTTTGAAACTGCAGTTCGAGCTACATTTCAATTGTATTTATGGTAAATTGAAGGACATGTTGAAATACAGTATACCCAATTTGTACATTATCAATCATTATTTTACATTTGTAATTGAGCTCGACAGAAATAAGATATACCGAGGGTAAGATAGACTGCACCGCTGTGCATATTTGTCATGCTGTAAAGTCTACGCAGTCGGTGCCTGACGATTCCATGAAATGAAACATTCCTATTAACAATGTATTGCTACGCTTTTTGCCAGCGCTTTACACACTTTGTCTGCAGTCTGTGGAGTGTGATGGTTTATTCCAGTACATGCTTACTTTCGTCATGACAGCAGTCATGCGTATCGTACTTGCATCTTTATATCGATAATGGGTCATCTGCAACGGCTCGCTGTTTCAAATGCTACAATTAACTTATAAATATAATTATTGAAGGTAAAATTGCTGTAAAAAGGAGACCATCACCTGTATAACTGTCTAGTTTGCGGCTCCTAGCGTCGACCCGTGTTTATTGACCGGTTGGGGGGCCGGGCCGGCCGGCGGGCCGCGGTGTCAGTCGCTCCTCCTCGCGCCGGCGAGATGTTTTCCTCTGCGGTACACTTCCGGCGCCGAGCGGCGGTGATGGGAGGCCAACTTGGTGTTCCGAACTCTACTTTACCGGCCCAGTCAGCCATAAAACAAGGCCAGCGTCTTAACTCGCGGGAAGTTCTCTCATTTGGTCTTTACTTCTCGAAGGCTGTAATAGCTTTACATAGATGCTGTTGATAGGATTGCCGAGACACGTTAGACTGAAACGACAATAACAAACGATGTTTTCATGTAATTTAGCCTAAGAACACGGTGAAGATAATAATGAAGAACCTTAAAAAGCTTTAAGATATTGTGATAATTAACGTAGAAAATGGATGTATGGATGTAATCTGCAAGCTTGATTGCAAAAATAATTGCTGGGAAGGAAATAAAGAGGCCTACCCAAAATTAAAACACAGCTAAAGTATCATGTTTTGCACTTCCTTTAACATGTACCTACCGATTGCAATCAATGGGCCATTTACTTGTTATATCAATGCCAATAAAATATCTTTTGGGACGAAAAATGAGCAAGCGCGATAGGGAGACCTGTAAGCGCGAAAGTACGCGATGCGAGACTTCCAACCCCTCCTCC